CAAACAATTAGCTGAGATAGTTAAGAGGACGCTTAAGGAGCTTAGGCTCAAGCCTAAGCTTCTCGCTATTACGGGAGACAACGCCGGCAATAACGGCACACTCTATTAGTCTTTGTACGATTCTCTTAAGACCAAATTCGACGATAAGGTAAGCCTAATAGGGAGGCCCCGCATACGCTTTTACGGTAGGAAGAGTTAGATCCGCTATCTAGCTTATATTACCTCGCTTATTTATAAGGGCGTCTTGCAAGATCTTAAAGTAGGCACAGCGAAGGAAGCTAAGAAGATGCTTAATAAGTGGGACGAAGAGAATAAAAGCAACAACTACACCATTCCGGGAGACTCTAGTCGAAGTAGGATTGCCTAAATCCGCCTCCTCAATCTCTATATATTGAGATCCGGGTCTAGGGAGCAAGACTTCAAAAGCATGCCGCGCACGCACTACCGGAAGCCAACCTACGATGTCGACACTCGCTGGAATTCGGCCTACGAAATAATTGACCAATTCCTCGAGCTTGAGGCAGAGTATACTGAGTTCGTTAATACTCACCCGCAAGTTAAGTGCCTCCTACCCTTATCAGAAGAGATTGTCGCTCTCTATTAACTGCGGAAGGTTCTAAAGCCGTTTAAAGACCACACTCTAAAAGTCTCCGAAGTTATGCCGCCGATCTCACAAAGTCTCGATATTTATTGGGATTTGGAAGCTCTCCTTGATAATATAGTCGAAGGAGTTAGCGACTTTATAGACCTTAATATGTCTATTCGAGACGCCTTCTCGAAGGGCAAAGCAAAACACGTTACTTATATAAAGAAGCTTAACGATTAAATAATGCTATTCGCAGCTCATATCCTAGATCCGCGTTATAAAACTTACTAATTGGAAATAATAATACCGGATCAATACTCTAAGATTATAGCTAAAGTTAAGAAGTATTTTAAAACGGAGTGGCCAGAGCTAGTAGCATTAAATGCCACAAACTTAACTATAAGCTAATCTAGACTAGCTGAGCGTCCTTAAGGAGTCTCTATTGCGCAATGGAGAGCTATCTAAATGAAGAAGGCGAGGGAGGCGGAGACGGGCGCGGCGATCCCTATTTCGGAGCTTGAACGGTGGTTTGCAGCTCCTCGAATAGAGTTCGACGAGTCTATTGCAAAGTCTCCAGACTTCCTACTAAAGTGGTGGAAAGAATATAAGGTCGAGTGGCCACTTTTGGCTGCGGCGGCGCGTGATCTTCTCTCTGTCTCTGGCTCTAAAGTTGACGTGGAACGCCTCTTTAGCGGTTGTAGAGACGAATTCGGTATCCGCCGTCACGCCTTGAAGGCAGATACGGTGCGAGTACTAACACTTTTACGGAGTGCTTATACTTAGGAAGATAAGATCGATCAGGCGTTGATCAAGGCGGCCATAGAGTATGACATCCTGCCCTTTGCCAATAGTATTATTTAGAGACCAGACCACATTCCGGGCAAGCTAGAAGATAGTATGTATAGATATACCCTCATTATATATGTAGGTATATGCTAATCTGTGTTTAGGCGAGAATCCTCCTTAACCTCTTCCTCCCACCGAGGCTCCCACCGAACCCCCTACCCCTAAACCTCCTGCATCCTAAGCCGATAAGTCTGCGATATCGACCCCCTATCTAGATACAATGGAGGCTTCGGAGGATTGGGGCTCTAAGAGTGTAGCCGTGTACAGTGGCGGATTCGAACGCGTTGTACCGACGTATTTTAAGGATTCGGCAGAGCTTTAAAAGTGCTTATTTTCAGTCGATTTACCTAGGACAGGCGGATCAGTATTTATGTAAGTTAATTTTTATAGTATTCGGGATTATCGACTTCTTAGAAGGCTATAACTTAAAACTATATACTACTTATTGGCGTTTTTGAGGCATCTTTGCAATCGCTTAGGTACACACCAAATTCACTTCGTTTAGGGGATCCCTTTAAACCATTTATGAATGGCCTGAATTGGCCTAAACCTAACTTGAATCGCGAAAATTGGAGCTTGAAGATTTTGAATTAAGATCCAAAAAATTCAATTCATTTGATTCATCCTTCATTCAAAATCTTCAAAAAATTCACCTTCGTCTATCACCCCTAAACCTTCGTTATCTAGCCAAGCCGGCACTTCCACAATATCGTCAGGGTCAGGGTCGTCTTCGAGGCGTTGAATCGTTCGATGTGATGCACGAGGCATCTCGGTGCCGGGCTCGTACGGGTCTTGTTGTGACTCTAGCCGCTAGAGGCCAATATCCGTTAATGATATTATCTTCGTTGTAGCAAGGGCAGCCGGGGCTATAGATAACGGAGGTTGATACCTTTCTGCCTCGTATTGCTCGAATTCCTCAATAAAATCAGCAGTGGCTTTGTCTCGCCGTGTCCTCTTTGCCGTGCCCGACTTCAAGTCGTCACGAGGGCGGCCTTTTTGCTTCTTGACGAGCGGTTCGTACGGTGCCGTGACCGTATTGGTATTATCATCACGACCCCGACAGCGCTGCTGCCGCCAATAAGGGTCAATCTCTTCCAATTCGATATAACCTTTAATATAGAGGGTTATGTAAATAACGTGCCGATAAGGGAGCCTATACGCCGTAAGGAGACTGCAGTGATAAGGGCTAGGGGGCGGCTTAGAGAGATCACTTATAAGGCTGCGTTTTTCCCGTAACATTAGCACTATTGCCGTAGGCGTCACTTGCTCTCGTATAAGTTCGAAAAGCCGGATAAGTAACGATGTAGGCACCTTACTAGTGACTTTATTATCTGCTGCTTTAACGGATGCCTCTTAATTAGCCTAAAATCGATTAAGGATACGGAAAACGCTAGCAAGATCGCTAGTGCTACTCTAGACCGACTTCTTCATCGTGGCATATAGGGACTCGACGATCGAGGTTATTATATGCCTAAAGTAACGATACCGATTAATAAAGTAGGCCACGAGTTTTTCTTTCTAAGGCGCAATCCACGTATTTATAGCGTATTATATAGCGGCGGCTAGATAACGCATTAGCTGCTGTATTTGCTATAGATTGCGGTCGAAGTCGTCGATTATTGCACTTTGCAAGAGGCTATTCTAATCCTTAAGGAAAGCAGTAAATTTAGCTGCCCGGATAACCCTACCGTTAATGCCTTTAACTCCTAGGGGGAAATGCCTCTTCGTGCGTATAAGGACGTTCTTATTAATATACTAGCGGCATAGTAGATATAGTATTAAGTAGAAAGTTAGATTGTTATTTAACGCCTTAATTAACGCGAGGTCTCGGTCTATAACGATAATGCGAGGCCGTTATTCGATAGATTATTTAATAAGGAGGCGTTAGAAGTAAGCGAGAGCCTAACCGTAATCGGCGTTAGTCTCGCTAGCAAGGAACGCTATAAATATCTAGAAAGTCTTCTTATTCGGCGACGATCTATAGGCAGTAAAAAGAGGGAGGTTAAAGCGGTTAGTCTTATATATATAGTCGAATAGTATCGTATAAGGATACTAACGATAGAGCTTAATGCTATTAACCGGGGCAATAAAGAGATATTAGAGGCGGTCTTCTTAGTCGCGGCGCTTAAAGCAAATATAGTTATCTAACGGCTATAATTAATCGAATAGCTATTATAGCTTAGATCGACCGTTAAGCTCGACGAGGCGATATTATAATAAAATATTCCGAATATCTTATTAATTCGCATTATAGATCGTAGTCGGATAGTTAGGCTCGTTGCGGAACGCGGATAGTATCTGCCCTAGTCGCTGGCCCTCGTTCTAGCGTATAACGATATCGTTAAGGCGTTAAGTTAATACGTTAACGCGGTTACGTGAGAAGTTAGCAGGACTCTCGGTAGGATCGTGGTTGTGTTGCTGCCTATTAGGCTCGACGATCTAGGCGTTGGAGACTTACTTAATCGTAAGTCTAACCCGGCATTAGCACATTTAAGTTAAAGTCTTACGGCGGGCCTTCTCTTCGATGCTATTTGCCTTCTAAGGCTTATACCCTAAGCCCTTAGTATAACGGAGTTTAACCCTCGTAATCCTATTATCTAGCGTACGGGATGGGACTTTTTCCTTAATTCGGTAGGCAAAGCCCTTATTAAGCCTAACGGCATTAACTACCATGCCCCACCCCCCTTTCGGTAACACCCACCTTTCGGTAGCGCAATTGAAAAATTCTCCACCAAAAGTCTACCATTTGAACTACATGAAATATGATCAGAACTTAACATTATAAACACAAAAAATATATCATTCCGTAGAGAAATGGACGCTCTTATATGTACCGGCGCTTTTACCATTCGCCCGGATCTGGTGGTGACTGGAAGGGCTTCGGTGCCACCTTGACTTCAATCACTGAAGCTGTCTCCACCTCTGAGACCGCCTCCTCCTCTGTGTCAGAATTCAGCACAACGGCTATCTCTTGGCTTTTAATTTGGGAATGGCTTCCTCAGCCACCAAAGCTTCACTGAGAGTCATGAACCGTCTGTTCGGGTTCGGAATTGCTCTCCTCTTCTTGCCTCTCTGCAGCCGGGCCACTTCTTCCTCTAGCTTCGCGATTCTGTTGCTGTGCTCGGCAAGCGTCTGTTCTTGGGCTTCAAAGCCTCTAGCTATCACGGCGTATCGTCTCCGGGTGCCAGGAGTCTTGTTCTTTCCGAAATCGCGAATCTGGCGGCTGTTTCTTGGCGTATCATCAGAACCCAAAATGGCGCGGACTTTGGAGACGTCTCTACAATGTCCGCGTGAATTTCTGGATGCCGCAATGCCTTGGATCGTGAGATCGGCCAATTCCCAGTGACCCTCCAGCCGGACAATATATTCTTTGCCGTCATTCCAACCTCGCGCGCTTTAGCATATGCCCGTATAAAATTGACCTTATGAACAGGCGCAGAATCGGTCACACAGGTCAATTTCTGAAGTTCTTTCCGGTAAGCTGCCTTGGAGGCATTGAATACACCGTTATCTAACGGCTGGAGGCCATGAGAGCAGTGGGCAGGAAGGTAACAGCAATAAACGTTGTTCAAAAAGCATGTGGCCATCCATGCATCCTGGTCTCGGTTAACAGTAATTCCTACAGAGGTGGATAAAGAAACGCACCGTTGCATGACTTCCATGTCCATCTAATATGATCAGTCTAGCATCTGAGGCATCGGCTGGTCGCGTCTGGGGCAAATAGACCCTCTCAAGCCACTCAATAGCGATATGGTTGTCCGTCCATCCGTTGGGCGACGTTATGTAATGCCAGTCGGCTATTTTGCCGAATTCCGTCAAGAACCACTGTTTCTGAAGCTCTTTGCCCTTAAAGATAATGCCAGGGGTAAGGACACGGCCGTCCGCGGTGATAGCTTCAATAAATGAGGTCCAGTTGCGGGACTGTGGCCCTTTCAGAAGGGCCTTCCGTTTTGGGTCTGCACTCCCAACCACAAGACTATCCAAACCTGGCAAAAGAGTCTGGTTAGTAAAAGTAATGAAAGACAAGCCAAATACTCACCAAAGCCAGACATAATACCGCCTTCGTCAACATTCACGGTATTTTCTGGTTTAATCCATCCATACTCCTTTCCCTGATATCGAAGAACCAGTGAACCGCCCGAGGCGTAAAAGCATTAAATCGGTTAGCTTCCTGACGTCTCCCACGCTTGTTCTTGATGTCCGGATGGCGATTGATGAATTTAGAGACCCAGTTGCGCCCCACTGTCCGCTCGTTGTTCAGTTGCTTTATAAGAGCCTCCACACATGCGCGGATCTGACTGTGGGAGGGAGCATAGCCGAGAGACTCTTGGCGGAGGATCCAAGAAACCAAGCGAGCTTCCTGAGACTTACTCAAGAGTTGACGAGGCTGGATCTGATCAGCCAGGGCTACCTGGCCTTTGAGTCTGTCGGAAATAGACTGCTGAGGTATGTCATACTTTTGGGCGGCGCGGTACTGCGACAAGCCGTTTTTTGTGACATCAATTATCGCATTAGCCATAATATCCTCCGTATAAATACTCCGAGGCCGCTTTAAGGTCATTTTGGTCATGTGGTGGAGGAATAACGAGAAGAATCATCGTCAGGAGGCGGAAGGAGATTAGGGGGTTGGATGGTAATTTCGCGTGCAAGGTACGCACAGGCCGCAGACCCTGTACAAACATTCAACCATCGAAAAGTAGAATTCAATCAATCCACTATCTACTCCAAGTGACGGCTTGTGAATATCTTCAAAGCTGGCTGGAATCCGTGTAAGTGAAATTGATGGTTTTTGGTGGGGATATTTTCTAATGCGCTACCGAAAGGTGGGTGTTACCGAAAGGGGGGTGGGGCATGGTATAGCAAGCGCGACTTACTAGGTCTCGAATTCGCGGCGGTATAGTGGCTCTATTATAGTATTGCGTAGGTAGTTCTTAGTATTAGCAATGCCCTTACTTTATAGTAAATCTTACGAAGAGAGGATATAAGTAGGTATTAATTATATTATATATGCCCCTTCTAATACCTTCTTCTAGGCTCCCTATTAATACCCCCTTATTAGTCGTATAGGTGCATTCGCTCGGGCGGGGGCTTCCGTCGGCAGCCTTACTATTTGCCTTTCGACCTCTATAGACGGCCTTATTCTTCTAGCTTCTACGGGTAGCCTCATTATTAGCAGTGCTAAACACCCTCTATATACGTCCCTTTCTATCTCGCCCAACGGGGCCCTAAGCGGTACCTATACCCTTTATAGTCACCCTAAACTTAATATCTTAGACGTGCTTCGCGATAGTAAATATAGTATTTTGCGCGTTAATCTGCTTAATAGACGGTGTAGGTATATAGACCGATATCTAGCTTACTAGCTGTTAAGCAGGGAAAACGATGGTGTGGTGACGCCCTTGTTATGTGACCGTCTAAGCCACGACTTGGGGGCATTCTATTGAAATGCGGGGGCATTTTAACAACTCCCAAGATCAAAGTCAGAGCACGGGTGTCGCTTGGTAAAGCTGAAACAGTAGGCTTAATCACACAAACAACATGTTCGGCCCATACTCGTACCGCAGGCACCCAAAATCCGTATAGCCTCCTTGACCATCGTTTTTACCTATTTTGCAACTGTTAGTAGTGCATGATTCATTCGGCCGGTGGCTGCCTCATATTTGCGAAAATCGTTTGTCACATTGGCGCAGTTTGCCTCCGATGAATCAAGAAGCTAAGTTGAATTCATTCGGCAATTCGGTATTTAGCGGACGACGAAGCGAAAGAAATAGTTGTTATTATAGTAATACATCTTGTGGACGCTGTTGGTGTTGTTATCCAGCTCTCTGCGGCTGTATTCCTTGCTAAACCGCGTATCGTATTGTTCCTATGCCCTATACACTATTATTGTGTTAGTTATCTTCCGAAATTTTAGGCCCTGAAACATCCCGTCTAGGTCACTAAGCGGCGCCCCTGATGTTATAGTGCGGCAATCGTTTCTAACCCCGGTTAACGAAACTCGTAAGTCTACTATAGGTTCGACCTTGTTGTTAGATAAAGAACTTGATGATGTCGACTCTGTGCTTACAGTAGATGATGCTGCTCGCGATATATCGGCGGACTCGGAGACTAATTCACTTAGCTCTCTTAATGCCGGCTGCTTGACCCTTGAACTAGTCGAGATAATGGATGTTGTGAGGGACCATTTCTTCGTAGTAGGGACTGTCCCCTCTCTCCCGAGTATCAGAGTAGGTGCGTGGCGATCATTATAGCAGCTTTGAGTCCTTTTAGGACCTAGACGTAGGAGTTTATAGCCATTTAACGTGCCCTATTTCGCCGGCGGTATTACGGAGACGTATGGAACTCTATAGCTCTTACCAGTTTGCGCGTAGCCTAGTATCAGCCTAGGGTTTAATTTAAGTATAGGCTAGTGCTCAGGAAGCCTAAGCCTATCAATGAGGTCGAGCAATATATCGCCGCAGGTAGCTTTTTATTCGCTAACCGTAGACGTAGGACCTCCCGCCCTTACCACTGTCAAATGTAAGACAACCATATCTTGCCCGCCTCGGTTGGTTCAAAATGCCCAGGTAGTATTCTCACTTCTTCCCGAGCTCCGAGCCGTGCATGGAATAATCCTATATATGCTGCAATAGGTAATAGATTAGTAGCCAAAGCCGGCACATAGCTTGCGGGCGGTACTTAATATATTCTATAATAGTGGCCGGCGTATTACTTACCGGTATAGCAACACGGAGTTTTAGTTAAATTGTGCACTGTTTGCTTATAGGTTCACCGGGCGCAGTGTTACGGCTTGGGACCCGCAGTATCGTATAGTAGCGAAGTATGTCGGTCTGCAATTACTGGTAGCATGATAGATGCTCGCAATAGGCCTTTAAAAGAAGCCGAATATTAACCGAGTATAAAGCCACTTAATTATAGGCCTTAAGTACGATAAAAGATTATTGTGTGCCGCGTTAACACTTATCGTAGAGATAGCAGATAGTGCTATATAGATTTAAAGCTAAATAACTTTTCCGTTATCGTTATAGCTTTCTAGTTAGGTTTAATTACCGTGGTACTCGGCCAGACAATTATACGCTATAGAGAGGAGAGAGAACGCTTATAGTGGCAAATTGACCCTAGTATAGCGGCCGTAGAGATATCTAACTATGGCGGTACCACGGCTCCTAAGTTAACTATGTCTATATTAGTGTAGAGCCCTCGAACCGATCGATTTTATAGCGAAAACGGGGAGGAAGGGTAAACGGGCGACGTAGAACGATATATTAAGTGTTTAAGCACACGGAAGTTAGGGAATTTACGACTAGGGCGTATTCTTAGACGGAGACGCTAACTTTTAAGGGCTAAAGGAAGCTAGGCCTCCTACTACTTCCTCTTAGATACTATTCTAGAGCTATAGCTAGGTCTACTTAAGTGGTCTATATTGCCTTACCCTTACGGCCGAAAACCTATTCGGCCGCTACGTTTTTATACTATCTCTAGCCGACCTAGTCGTCCTACTTAGAAAGTTATTAATATTAAATAACTAAGCTAATATTAAGGTCTTTAGAGGTATATTTACGGCGAAATACAACGAGGGCGGACAAATTAAAGGTAGCGAGTTTAGTACTATATCCTTATCGCGTATATCGTAAAAAGCATTTAAGGTTATATAAAAAGCTTTAGCTTTAATCTACGATATATATTTACCTACTTCCTTATTAGGTCTAAGCCGTAGAAATAGTAACTCTATAGAGCTCGCCCTTAATAAAGCCTTTAGGAGGGCTAGAGCCTAGAAAGCGGTAGATTAGCGCTAGATCGTTATAACGTTTTAAATTTATAAAAGGGCGAGGCTATACTATAGGCGACGGAAGAAACGATGGATTTAGAGACGATATAGTAATGTTCGCTATAGACCTAGAGGACGTTATATTATCGTCTCCGCGCGGCTATAGGCTTCTTTCCGACGGGTTCTAATAACGTATATAATCTTTAATATAAAAGCTATTACTATACTCTTACTTTAATATCTTTTAATAAAAGTCGTAGAAGAAGTATATAGATATAGTAAAAAAGGTATACTATTTATACCGTAGCGTACTATAAAATCTTTAGTCCCTTACTATTCTTATATATAAGTATTAGTAGATACTATATTACTATTCTTATATTACTATCGGTAAGAAATACTAGCGACTCCTTTTCGATACTAGAGACATTGCCTATCGGTAACGCGAAAGCCTCGCTTAAAAGTATAGAGATTGTTTTACTATCTTAATTATAGTTAACTATAGCTAGAGCTTTAAATATATAGTTTAGGGCGGTTATTACGCTATATAGTATTAGCGCTCTAGCGGTTATTATAGTATTAAGCATCCTTATAGGAGTTCTTCTATACTAGATTAAGAGGAGAGGGAAGAATAGTAGAGCGGACCTTAGCGAAGTAGAAGAATTACTAAATAGCGACTATTTAAGGAGGAGAAGCCGCGAGCATCTAGCTAAGCTCCCTATATAGGATTATAGTTTAGGTAGTTTCTTAACTTCTCTTAAGGCGCCTCCTAGCCTTCTCCGGCTAGGGCGTAATATTATAACCTAGACTAGCCCGGACCCCGCCCCGATGCCTAGAGAGCTTTAAGGGTGCCTACCTAGCACTTTAGTCTAGCGACTAGACCTCGCGTTATCGATCGCGTAAGTAGTATAGATATAATTAACGCTATAAGCGTTAGTAGCGGGGCTAATAACTACGGGCTATTAAAACGTTTACCCTAGGCTTATTCTAGCTACGAGTTCTAAATTACTATAGTAGGGAGATTCGGTACGCTACTATCTAGGTTTACTTATATATAGGTTACTTCTAACTTAATATATTCTCTTCCTAGGGTTTATTAAGATTATACTAGTAACCTATCTAGAGGTATCTAGAACTTCGACGTTAAATAAGAGGGAAAAACCAGAGTGCCTAGGGGAAAACCCTCCCCTCTTTCGTAGCTAGTCCGCCCTTATACTAGGTCGCGGTTGCAATACGTAGGAATCTTACGCCGGCTATCTTAGGTATCGTTATAGTTAGTCGGAA